GGACAGAATCCTGGCTACGTGACTGCCACTGGAGGATGGTTGCTTTCCTTGTGTCCCTAAGCGTTATTCGATGAGGAGGTGGCTCCCATAGTGGCAGTCAGACCCATGAAGTTCCGTAAGACTCCTCTTAACCACCCATCAAAACTTTGAAAATTTATAAGATAAAACGTTTATATATTATAATTAAGTTATACTTATAGATTAATTAAGCTTTAAAAGACATCTATGTATGTCTATTAGCGACCTTTGTACAAGTTTAATTCGTGCAAATAAAAAAAAAAAAAAAATGCTTATCAAAAGGAGAGGGGTTCGTTTTTGCAGAACTATTTCTCTCTAGGTTGTCGCTTTGTTTCTTTCGAATCACAAATCGATCTATTATAAAATGAGATGAAGCACACGATTCGCGAAAGCACTTAGCCCCTTTTGATCAAAACCGGTTGAAGCAGATCCATAAATGTGCACAAAACCCGCGAAAACACAGAACTCGGCTCCAACACAACGCGTTTTTTTTTTTTTTTTTTTTTTTTTTTTTTTTTTTNTCGATGCCGCGACACGACAAAGCGCTGACATACAGTCGATATCATTTCAATAATCGCCCCGCTGGAAGGCTATTCCCATTCGACTTCACACACCGTTCATTCACCAATTCATAAACCCACTCTGTCGACTTCCCTCAACAATCTCCCATCACCCCAGTTATCGTTCTGATATATCCTCATTTTAAACAACAAGTTCATTTTAAATGCCTTCAGCCCCAATTCTTCCAACTTATAACATTTAAATTTATTATATTCTCTTACCCCTTTATAGAAAACCATCTTATCCACATTACCCTTTTCATGATATGCCCAGACTTCACCTCCATGTCTAGTCCCTTTTGAATTATCACCCCACATTAGCTTTTTTAATTCCTCATCTACGCCTTTTATATAACCCTTCTTAATTTTGTAAATAAATACGAAGGCTCTGTATTTGATGAACAGTTCTATACACAACCACTCCAACTCATTTAACATTCCTCCAATGTTCTCTTCTCTACCCCTTTTTAACATATACCTCATTGCATTATTTTGCCCCACTTGTAACCTTTCAATCACTCCCTTCCCAGCTTCAAAGAGTACGGTTGTACAGTGATTTAATATCGCCCCCACTACTGCATGGTACAGCAATTTCTTCCCCTCAATCGTCAACACATTTTTCATCCTCCAAAGCAAACTTACTCTCCTCCTATATTCACTCACTATTATTTCTATTTGCCTGTCCCATCTCAAGTCCTCAGTAACCATCACCCCCAAGTATTTATATTCCCTTACTCTCCCTAATATCTCCTCCCCAATTTTTATCCTCACCTCTAAGTTCCTATACTCTTCTTTCGAACTAAATACAACAAATTTGGATTTTTCTATATTGAGCTTTAATTTATTTATTCTTAACCATTCATCTACTCTATTCAGTTCCTCAGACAGTTTTTCTTGTACTTCCGCTACATCTTCGCCTATCATGTAAATCAATGTGTCATCTGCAAACATTCTAAGCTTACATACACCCAGCACCTTTTTTATATCATTAATATATATTAAGAACAGCACCGTCCCCAATCTACTCCCTTGCGGTACACCTAGCTCGACACACAATTCGTCTGATAATACCTCACTCCAATTCACCACCTGTTTCCTATTCCTAAGGTAGCCCTTAAACCATTCCAAGGCTTTACCCTTCACCCCGTTTAATTCCAGCTTTTTTAGTAATATTTCCCTATCCACTGTTTCAAATGCCCTCTTTAAATCAAGAAAAACACCAACAATGACTTTGCCTTTGTTTTCACCCTCCCTCCACTCTTTGAATAACATCTGTATCAATTCCTCTGCCCCCCTTCCCTTCCTAAATCCTCTTTGCTCCTCAATAAATATTTTCTTATTTTCAAAATGTTCAACTATTTCCTTGAATACCACCCCCTCTATAATTTTTTCCACCACTGGCAATGTATTTATCGGACGCATTTCCTCAACTTTCCTAGTATTTTTTACCTTAGGTATCGGTGTTACTACCGCTTTCTTCAATACCTCAGGAATGTTCCCTCCCCTCAATGCCTGGTTTACTATTTCAGTTATTATTCCCCCCATTTTTTCCCTGTACCTTTTTATTATATTAGAGCACACTGGAAAATCCCCAACACTGTTCTTTAATTTACCAATTACTTCTTCCACCATATTAACTGTTACCTCCCTAAACTCTGCTAACTCTTTGTAGGTTTCCCTTCCCCTTTCTACCCCATACATCACCCACTCTTTGTTACATTTAATTGTTTCGTTTAACTCCATAACACTTTCTACCAGGTATTTATTAATCTCATTCGCACCTTCAATTCCCATAAATTTCTTATCACCAACCCTTATTACCTCGTTTCTCCTCCCCTCCGTTTTCTTACCTCCAATTAAGTCATTTAAGATTTTCCAAGTTTTTTTCCCATCCCTTCTGTTTTCTCTTAATATTTTACAAACAAATTCTTTCTTAAATCTTTTCGCTTCCCTTACAAATTTGTTTCGAGCTCTCTTGTACTCTACCCAGTCCTCATCCCTTCTTTTGCTCACATACTCTCGATACTTTTCATCCCTCACTTTCCTAAGAGTCCCCAGTTCTGCATTCCACCATCTGACCCTTCTTTTTACCACCGTCTTACATTCCACCGTCCCCAATTCCCTCAGTTTATTCTCAAATTTTTTATAAAATTCATCCAAGGTTTCCCCTTCATTTCTAACATCTTTAATTTCATCTACCCTTTTTTCCTCCATTCTTCTAATTTTTATTTTGTATCTTATTCTGTTTACATCCTTCACTTTACCTTTAACTGTCACACTCACCCAGCTATGGTCTCTAATCTTGGGTGTATGTTCCACCCAGCATTTCTCCATAATCCTATCTTTCCCCCATTCAAATGCCAAGTCAATAATTGATTTGCATTTATCAGTGATTCGCGTATACTCTTTTACCCTCTGAGTCATCCCCCAATTCATTTCTACCTGTTTTAATAATTTTGTATCCCAATTTTCCTGTTTCTCCCATCTTATATTAAAGTCCCCCATTGTTATACCAATCCCCCCTGCTTCAATCTCCTTTCCTACCCACCCCTCAAACCACTCAATGAACCTTTTTTCACTACACGATGGCGACCTATATATTCCCCCAATGTTTAAATATTTATCACCAATTTTTACTTCAGTATTAATTGCCCACCATTCACTATTTCTCACCACCTCCTCTTTTAATACTTCCAAATTATTGTTTACATACAATATCACTCCCCCTGTATGTGAGCTGTGAGAATCACATCTAAACATGTTATACCCCTCTAATCTTAACTCCCCATCTCCAGTCCTATCTGTGATATGCGTCTCTACTACGCCTAATACATCTATTTTTTTACCTTCTATTATTTTCTTAATTTCATCCAGCTTCTCATACAGTCCCCCTACATTTATGCATTTGATACTGACCTCCCCTGGCATAGCGTCCCCCTTGTCTCTGCCCGCTTCCCTCACTTCCTCCCTCTGACCTACTATTATGTTTTTTTTTCTACCCTCTCTCCCTTCAAATTTTTTTACTGACATACCTTTGATCTCCCCCCTCTCTGTCCTAGTCCCTTGCTTGATCCCCACTTTATTTGTTTTACCTTGTTTGCTCATTCCCTGCCCTATGCTTCTGTCGACCTTATTCACGTTACCTTCCAGAATAATAATAGGTGTGCGACCCTTGTTTTTCCCCCACTTTATGTTCTCCCTCCCTTTTTTTCTCCCTGCCATGCAAACCCTACCAAAATTTTTCCCCCAGCCAACACTATATTTCGTTTTTGTCTCTGCTCTACCCAAAATTCTTCCTCTTAATTACCCTATCCATCGCCAGCTGATTATAAAGAGCACCCATACCACCTGATCGGTACCCCTCCCATTCAGTGTACAGTAGTCCCTTTTTGTGATTTTAAAATCATCCGAAGTCAAATAATTCAAATGAATGTACTCCCCCTAATTCCTGACAAAATTCTTTGCTAACTTTCTATTGACCCTGTCTATTTCTTTATTTAGGCAACTGTTAACCCACAGATCATGTCTGTGGGTTATCCCGACATAGTAAAAATGAACCCCCATTTTTTCAGCTTCACACCCCCAATCCCCAATACCATCAATCACCCTCTGTCCCTCATTTGCAAAAACATCACTCCTACCTGCCGCAAATATGATCACATCCCCTGCTTCTAATTCACTTCTATTATCATGCCAATACCTCGCCCACTTGTCCATTTTATCATTACCTTTCGTCTCACTTACTATCCTAACGCCATCCCTGAACAACTCATTCTGCAATCTCTCCCCCACTCTCATCGTATATTCATCACCCAACGCCCAAATTACCTTGTTTCTTACACTAACTTTATTCTTAACTTCCACCCTTTTTTCTATCCTTTCCTTTTCTCCCCTGACTTGCTCATAGATACGCATTCTGACCTCTTCTACCGTGTCACCCTCCCCAGCCTCAACGCACAACTTCAACATTTTATTCCTTATTTCATCACCCTTAATTTCCGCAACCCTTAATTTCTCGTATGCTCTGTCCAATTCCACTCTCATCTTTTCCTTCTCAATTTTCATCTCATCATTTATCATTACCATATCCCCCATAGCCCTGTTACTCTCCTCAGCACACCTATCGCAGAACCACATTATATTCCTCACATATTTATTTAAAACCTCCAATTCAGTCTCCCCCATTCCTATACATTTAATGTGGTGTAGCCCCCAATTACATTCAACACCGTCACACCGAATTGCCTTCTCATTCTCCTTCACCTCACTCCAACATTCACAACATGTCCCCACACTATTAATTATTATACCAATCTCCATATTCTCCATCCTCGTATTCAATAATTCGTCCTCCAAATTATCCTCTAGTGTGCAATCCGTTAGTGTCCTCTCCAAATCCTGCATATTGTCTCTATTCCCATCACTCGTTATACAATCTCTTGCTTCCCACTACGTATCCTTATCTCATCTTCCTCGCCCCCATTATCTTCACAACTCCACCTTTGTTCTCAATTACCTTCTCTTGCCTAATGATTTCCTCACCCATTTTTAGCTTCAACTTTTTTACTTTTGTCACTCCCTTTCTTTTATCCCCAATCAACCTCTCCTCACTTCTACTCCTTGGTGGCAACCTTACCTTAGGTGTCCCCGAGCCTACTCCCACCTCGCTTCTCACACTACCAGACCTCAGTTTTTTTCCCTCACTTACAATCGCCGGACTATCCCCCATTTTTTTCTTTCCCCCATCCCCCGCGGGGCTATCCACCTTACTCCTCCCTAGATCCCCTATCTTTTTCCTAATAGCACTCGCCATACTAAATTGATTCACTCTAACCTCTACCACACTATCGTTCGTTTGTCCAGCCACACGCCTCCCACACACAACACTCACTAGTTACACTCTAAGATCACTTACACTACAAGATCACTAGACAACCATCACAAAAAACCGAAACAAAAAACAAGATTAAACCAAAAAAAATCGCAAGGAAAAAACGAATCACGCGAAAAAAAGACCGCAAAGCAGAATCACGTAATCACGTAATCCAATTTCCACCAAACCAATTTCCACAATCCAAGATAAATTACACTACAAGATCACTAGAAACTAGAACAAGAATCAACCAACAATAATCGCGAGACAAAAATCGTAAAATCGAACCACGCGAAAAAAAAAAAAAAAAAAAAGACCGCAAAGCCGAAATCACGTATCACGAGATCCACGAGATACGCGTGTAGGTACCTTCCCCGACGGCGCGCGAAGCAGAACTGATTAATGAAAAAGTATGGAGTAGGTAAATAACAGTGTCAAAAAAGCACTTGAACTTGGAATAGAACACTATGCTCAAACTAATCAAAACCCGAGAGGACACGGGACAGAGAAAACAAAATCAACCACGTTTGGAAAAAATTCGGGGCTCGACTGAGTCGACAGCCGATATTCCCAGGGAGAACGGAGAGCTCAGCGTTGCCAACTTATAACGTGTGGGTGTAACTGAGAAAATTAGACCTGGATTGCCTGGATACACGATCTGTAAAATGTCACCAATATACAATAGTAAGATATTGTTTCCACAAGACTTAAAATAACAATATCTAGTTCTCATCCAAAGTTTTACGCATCATAACTTTGAGGCTCCAACAGATCTGGCAACGCCGAACCTCGACGGCCGAGGAACAAATTCGCGGAGTCTCGGATTTGCTTCCTCCCTGTCGCCATAGAGAAAAAAAAGGAGGTGTTTGCATCTTGAGGTTTGTTTACCCTGTGACGTAGGTCGGTACAACCTGGCCAGCGAAATCCGGAATTCGAAGTATGAAAAACGGACCATAATGTCCAATTTTTTTGCTTAAATCAACTCATGATATAATTTCAAGCACTTTTTTATAGAATGACTCTTTTCCATAAATTACACCATTTCCAAGGAAATCGATGATAAAAGTCGCTGTGCCGACCTACGTCATCAAAAAAATTCCAAGATGCCCGCAATGCAAAGACCTCCTTTTTTTCTGTATGCCCTGTCGCCTGTCGCCTCATCTTCACAAACAAGCTATCTGCGATAAGAGTCCCTTTATACCCAGAGTTAAGACAACTCGATTATCAGCTGACTGGCAGCCGGCCTTGGCTGGCCATGGAGGCCGAAACGAGTGCACCCCAACGAACGATATTGAGGGATAAAGGATCAGGAATCCTGCGATGTCTGTCACACAAAAACAACAACATCAACAAATTGATCAATTAAAACGAAAATTAGATTGGTTTGTGAATAATTTCTTAATCTATTTTCATTTTAGACCGATGGAAATAAAAATTTACTCTTGATAAACCACAATTAGGTAATATTTTCATTATTCTTGTTCACATTCGAGGTACCGCCATCTTGGTGCACTCGTTTCGGCCTCCATGAGCGAGAACCAATCAGAATTGGATTTTTTTTTAGGCCACTTTCAGCCCAACCAAAAGTGAGTTGTCTTAACTCTGGGTATAAAGGGGTATAAAGGGACTCTATCTGCGATCAGCGTGTGCGCCCTGGCTGTAAGACAACTCCACAAATAACTTGTTGATAAGTTGATAAGTTGATTCACCAACTCTTTTTGGATTGAGGAATAATAACCGAACTTTTGACTGAAGTCCGGGACTATAAATAATGAAGTTAATTAAACTCTGCAATATCACTAGGGGGGGGGGGGGGTCTCACTTGGGGGGGCGACGCCCCCTCTCGCCCCCCCTGGCTACAGCCCTGAACATAACCGCCCATACTAAGTTCAAAACTGGCTACAGCCCTGGCTGCAGACAAAAATTCATTTGATCGCGGGACAAGGGCTTTACTTGCGCGCCCGCCCGCTCCCCTCGAAGACGTACAATCGCGCCGAAATTTATATTTTGTTTATACTTTTTCATGACGTCAGCAAAAGAATATTGAGAAACGGCCAATCACATTCGAGAGCCCATGGCCCCACTCCACCCACCACCCACCACTTCGTGCGTCGTGCCGGTCACATGGGTTTGTTGATAAGCTTCAAGGCTTCAAGTTTGGAGGTTTGGTTAAATCGTGGCTAAATTTGTGAACTTTTCGTGTGCACAACTTTCTGAATTGAATAGATTACTTATTCAGTGTTACGTTCACTTACAATTAAATTGTTACACAATCATGTGGATCTGCAAGAAGTTTCATACACGCATATTCTACGAATCTGATCTTGCTTGTCATGTTCAATTGCGCTCATCCTAGGATTGTCAAATCTCTTGTTTTCTGCTATGACAGAGAATATGAACATGAACCTAGAATCATATGTAATCACCGAGGTAAGTTTGAAAATTTTTACGAAGGAATGAAACCTTTACTGTAACGTGAGAAATACGAAGTAAATAAAAGATCGATAATTGCCCCCCATAATTTACCAAGTGGCAGACTCTGATGAGGCTTTCCTGAAAGGTTAGTTTCATTCTACACTCATCTGATCTGCTCTGATCAGATCTTACGCACTGGGCATTACACAGAGGATTCATTTGGAATTTCGAAATCGGTCACCGCCTGATGTGGGGTAGACGAGTGATGAAGGGTGTCTTACCTTGGATTAGTTTCCAAGCTGCATAACGGCACTAACGGATCAAATTTAAGTCAGCTCTGCTGATAAGTTGGCCCTTGTTTTCATTCTGTTATCAAAAGCTTGCACCACCACCTTCCACTACAACTCATGCATGATGTAGGTAAATGAAGCCACCAGCCACTGCACATCATAGTCTAATGTACGTGTGAGTGTCAACTGTCCTGCTAGGAGTTGCAAGGGTATTTTCACCTTACTAAGGTATTGTGGTGGTGGAATTTCTCAAGTTATATTACAAGATTCTTTTAAATCAAAGTTGGTACTAGATCAGTTTGTTAGAAAAGTTAAGTGTGATAATCTTTGCACTAAAGGGGCACGGGCTGTCTGCGTCGCCAACAGATTCCCCAGATTTTCTTGTCTCACTCTGCTGTTCCCCCGATCTGATTACACTGTTCTTATGCAGATCGGTTTGAACTATGTAACGGAGCATGCTTGGGGAAGCATTTGGAAAGTGGTGCCTCAGCAATTTGGGGGAAATTCGTCGCCAAGTTGCGGAATTCCAAAGAACATCTTGTTAACCCAAACCCACTAACACCAGCCTGTCATAAGTGAGTTGAACCTTATCTTCAACTTGTCCATTCCTAAGGCCATTTATGAACAAGTAAAAGATGTAGAAAACGCCCTGGCCCTAGTCAGAGGAAATCTGCGAGCACATGAGACAATTTTTCAACATAACTAGTCTTTATGATTCTTCCAGCAGTAATAGAAAAAAGCAGTCAAGCGATCAAAGTTGTGAAATTTTTTGGCACAATTTGTACTTGTGACCTTCGCGTGAAGAGAGGCAATTTTTGAGGCGGAAATTGCGACTATTTTATCCTCTGAAGGACTACCTGTACCCCTTAGTAAGTAGCTCTTTCTTGAACCTGTCAGTTAAGCCTGACATAAAAAACTGAGTATATTATTGACAATTTACTGTTCTCTGTCCATGCACTAGGTATTTCATTTCTCTTCTTTTTCTTTTTACTGGTATTTTTCATTTGTTTATTTATTTTAATTTTCACAATTTTAGGTTCCTCCAAAAGTACATTACATTCCAAATTTCATTACTCCAGAAGAAGAGGAAAATATTTTGAATAAAGTGAATAGCAGCCCAAAACCCAAATGGACCCAGTTACGCAATAGGAGACTTCAAAACTGGGGTGGAGTGCCCCATCCCAATGGCATGATCTCTGAAAAAATTCCTGAGGTTTGTCCAGTTTCTTATTAGTTCTGTTAACTTATTGTGTTTTATAGTTGACATGCCATTTTTTTTTCAATACCCAAGTGACATTTTTCAATGGAAAATTTTCAATTTAGGGGCACACAAAGTTCCAAGCCTTCCCCCGAATACAGGTAATCTTTCCCAACTCTAACCAAAATGCATGATCGGTTCCCCCAAAAGACTAAAAAACCTTTTGCTTCAAAAATCCAACTTTTTTACTGTTATCACATCATATTTTGCACAGGGCTTCCCCGTTTTGTCCCATTTTTATGGAGGTTTCCCTGTTTCTTGCCGTTCACTCAGGAGTTCCTTTACAATGGCCGAATGGCACACGACAGGGGTGGTGGCACGATTGGAAAGTTTCTGCACCTCTCTCATGATCAGTTGAAATAAAGCTGCCTGTTGCCAATATCAATGATAAAAACACTTGTACTAGTTGATAATCCTACATTTTCTTGCCATTAAACAATAATTTTATCATTTTGAAGAAATGGATACATTGATGATAAAAAATATGGCAAAATAAGTATACTGTCAAAGAAATTTTATCTAAAATAATAATTATGTTATAGGTAACTTGAATGCTCATTAAAATTCTCAAGAAGCCTTTCATTTTAAATTGATATTTAAAAGTCTATCACTAATTACAGCCAATGTATTACAAGAGATTTAGTAAAGCTTTGCCAGAAAGCAGAGGCAAAGGGCTCCTAGACAGAACGTACCACTTTTTTCCTGTAAAATGTCTTGTAATGGATTCAAATTCTACTCTTCCATCTCCTGTTATCCTGTTAGCGTAATGCTATGTGATCTTGTTTCAGTGGCTTGAGTTTTACATGGATAAGATTAATAAGTTGGCTGTGTATAATCAAAGCAATCGGCCTAATCATGTTCTCGTTAATGAGTATCTTCCTGGACAAGGAATTATGGTAAATTTTCAAAATTATATTCTTATAAAAAACTAACCATAGTAGGTATTATGTCTCTTCTCTCTGAAAAGAAAAAGAAAAAGAAAGAATTAAAAAAACTAGATGAGTTCCAAGGTAGGTATTTGCAAAATACACCAATATAGTATATTAAGTCATGATGTCCCCTTTTTCCATCTAAGAGTCAAAATTTATCTCTATAGTCAGGTGGAGGGAGCAGAACAGTTTCCAGGAATGCTTCTGGAGTGTTTGTGTTTTTTCTTCAGAGTTCCAAGGGTTAGTTCTTACTTGGATCCCCAGCCCCACAGACTGTTTTTTGTGCTCTTCTCTGGGTGTGAGTCAGCCACAAAATTGAACTTAATCAGTAATGAAATCCCTCACCCACCCTCCTTCCCTATCAAGAAAAAAGAAAAAAACTCTTTTGTGCAGTTGCCTCCTCAACACAATATGTCCACAGTTTTTGTACTAGAATTTTTTGCCCATGACCAATGAGGTTCAAGGTAACATTGAAGTGGTATCAGTTGAGATCTGTTATCTCAGCTGGTCAGTTTTACCAGGAGTACAGAAATTTCTGTATAATAGTTAGAATTATCAGTCAATAAGTGCGGTGTGCGAGTAGGATGTTGTGGTTTTATTTTCCATTTACCTCCAAATACACATAATTAGAAGAATTTAGGCTAAATTCTCTAGCCCCAAAAAATTATCATATCAACAGTGAAACTACCAGACCTTGCTTTTTGGTTTCTAACGTTGCAGATTTCCTGTCATACTAGATTTTTAAAACGTAAAACTACTCAACATCAATTCTTGAAAACTTCCATAATTTTTCTTCTCTGTGCAAAGAAAACTCTGTGGAAACGTCAAGGGATGATATTGATTTGTTCTCCTTCAAAAAAATAAAGCAGAAGCGAAGTTTTTTAAACACTGCAAACAAGATACGTGGTCTGATGGTTCCATTGTCAATGTACATCCATTCCATACTCAATTTGAAGTATTCAGAATTTTTAAGTATCCTATTTTGTATGTAGATACAGACCAATAAAGTTTACCTATCTTGACTGATATCTTAATTTTCCTTCTAGCCACATACTGATGGTCCTCTATTTCACCCTATTGTGACGACCATAACCTGCGGATCTCACACTGTTATAGAATTTTATGAACGTCATTCAACTGAGGATTTCACAAAAGTAAGTTTTTATTCAGTTCCAGCATAATTGTCTTTTCGTAGTGTTTCGTCAATCAATAGTGTAAGGTGTCATAAAGAGGAAAACAAGGATTGTAGAGACTTTCCAACTAGCTGACCTGCTGGTTGTTAAAGGGGGAACCTCAGTGAGGATATAAAAGTGGGGGAGGGCTGAAAGCAAGGCTCAAATTGGGGAAGGCTTGTTTTTTAAGGCTTGCAGCTTAGCAAGGCACTTCTATGATCAGTCCAAACCTATGAAAATGAAATGATCTTTAATAGTTTACATGTGATTGATTCTCTGTATACCTACCATTAAAATTTATAAAAGAAAAAAAATTCAGATGGTCAAACCCCCAGTCCTCTGGATTTTCCCTTCTCCTAAAATCTCACAGGTACATAATGTGCTCCTCTTCTCTCTCTTATAACACCACGCCTATCTTCTCTCTACAACAGCATGATATGCAGGTTGCCACAGTCAGGGAGTTCGGAGAAAACCTGGAAATGTCAGGGAAAATGAAGAAAGTATCAGGGAAAAATTATTAAGACACCTTTACTTGCTTTCTGGAATGTGTTTGACGTATTGATCAACAAAGTTTGTCTAAAAACTATTTCAAATTATGTCTTATTAACCATGTGACATATTTTAAATTGTCAGGGAATTTTACCAAAATGTGTTAGGAAAATTTCAGGGAATTACATTTTCTAAATTCTGAGGTAACTCTGATCATATGGACCACATAATGTGTATAAAGTGGATTTTAGACATTCTATGTGTCTCAAACACTTTACCTAGTTTGCTCCATCTCTAGTGTGCAACAGGCCATTATCCAAATATCTAACCTCAAGTTGGGGGAGGGAGGACAAATAAAGGGACCTAAAGGGGAGACAAATTCAATTTGGAGAAAGGGCAGGAACTTTCTGCACCACTGAAAAAATCCAAAAAACTAGGGTACTAAACTGTGAGTAAAAATCAAATAAAACAGAACCAAAAAATTAAATGTATTGATAATATTTAATTCGAAGTTATATGATTAAAATGTTATCATTTACGTTTCTCTATCAATATCATAGGAGGATCTGGCAAAGTAAATATGTATCAACATCTGATCGATGTGTTAAAACCATTTCTTGCCCAAATGCTGGCTCTTTTGTTTATGTTTACCAAATGATAGCCTCATTATAACTTAAAGCACACTGTAGCAGCCTGTTTCTGCAACATCTTATAAAAAATCCCTTGATTTAAGTGATAATTTTTCAAATGCATAATACCACTTTTCAACAAGTCAGGTTGAAAATTGAATTCTGAGTTAGGTCAATTTTGACCATAATGAGGGGTTTTGGATCAAAATTCCGTGGAAACAGGCAATTGAATAAACTGTATTTATTGAACAGTTTTTTTATCTTACATGAAGAAAGAAACGAGCACATAAGGAATTTTTTTAACGTTTATCGGTTCATTAATCTCTGGTCAGGATTTCTGGTAACAAAAGGAAACCCTGGGTCAGTTGCACTAGTCACAGATGTTTGATTCGATGTTGATGTTTTGATAATAGGTTAGCAAAAAACATTATGATCGCTGTTTGATCTGTTTGAATGTCAAGTTTCTACGTGCAATATTGACAGAAATGTTAATCATCGAAAAACATAGTGTATGATGTCATCCACCACGGACGTGTATACCATGGTTTCGTCCCCTTATACCCTTCATCAATCAGTGAGACATACATCGGCACTGGCTGCTCAATGTGAGCACATATGAAACCAAGGTGGAAGAGATCATGGTATGCAATACTGGATGGTGTCATAAACCGTGTGTTTTGAAGGGCAATATCTTCGTTAATATTGGAATAGAAACTTGACGTTTGAACGGTTTTTTTTTGTTTTTGCAAATCTTTTAGCTTGAACTACCAAAACACAATTCTGTAACCATCACAACCGACCCATTCCAAACCATGTCAAACATCCTAATAATCTAAGTATCCTTTGTAAACCGCGTTTAAATAATATTTACATAGTCATCATTGGCATCAATATTTTCCTTGTATTATTTTATGAAAATGTTTTCACTATTCTTTTGGTTTGACTTTTGAAGGATCAAGGTTGCACTACATCTGAACTTGGCCTTCCGAAACCCTGTGCCACTCTCCTGTTAGAAAGACAAAGTTTATTAATTCTGCAAGAAGATATGTACCATCGCCACCTGCATGGGATATCAGAACAAACGCAAGATACCATTGATGAAACCATCAAGAACCTTCATCTGTGTCAAGCGAAGGTAGGTGATGAGTTAAAGCGTTCAACTCGAATTTCACTCACCATACGAAACGCACCAAAGAGTACCAAAATAAAGTTATTTTCTTAGGATTCATCATCAAATTACACTCATGTATCACTCATTATATAAGTAATGTGATAAAATGACCAATTTGCATGTCAGAAAATGTCGTATCAAAGTTTGTTGTAGAGTCAAAGAAAGTTGATTTAAAATGAAAAAAAAAGAAGAAAAAAATTGTGACCAATAGGTGATTGAGAAGTAAATGGAATAGCCGGTGCTCGATAGACTTTTTGTGTGTAATGTAAGCATTTCTTTGTTAATTTAATCATTATCTAAGAGCTTTACAGCAAACTTTGTGCTGATCAAGTCCATAAGGGTCTCGTGTACTAAAGTTACTTGTTTCAATTTCTCAGTACAACTAAATGTATACTATTTTAAACATATTCACTTAAACTGTAATTACTTAATGGGATGCTGTGTGTGAGTAAGAGTTTGTAACTTCTTTACTGTCATCATGGTATGCTAGTGGATGTCCTCCAAAAACACTTTAATATCTATCATTCAATCCTTTATTAAGTTGATTTTCTTAACTCAGTCAGTAATCCACTTATGATAATATTGAGTAGAACATTCCTGCAGACTTTTATTTTCCCTATATTTTTCATCCATTCTCTGCATATCTTATTCTAAGGTATTATATCTATTTTTGTGTCTCAATCGTCTATGAGTACAGAATATCATAGACAGATCTTGGTAAATGCTCAGCTACAAATGCTTGGAGTTTCTCCTGTTTTGTGACTGGTGTATATCTAGCCATCGGGAATGTTCGAGTAACGGAATCCACCAAAGATCGGACGGTTGGCGTGAGATCTGTCTCCTGTAACATTTTAAAATTTTAATTGAATGAGGATGCTATTATTTTTTTTTTCTATTTGCTTTCATCAGTCCATTTGAAAGTCCAAGAACTGAAAAAAAAAAATCCATAGGTTCAAGAAATCTACAGAGGTTAGATTGTAACACTAAGTCATTGAGCCCTTGCAGAATAGCAAGGTAATTTTATAATCCGTCCAAGTCCATGAAACTGGTGTGCAGTGTGATGGCTTGAATGTAATCTAGATGGTCCAACAAGTCACCTCTCCTCCAACTTTTTTCTATCTGCCAATCGTTTTCTTGACCTTTTTTCACAAATGCCAACAGTTCTTATTTCTAAACATATTCACTTCACCTTTTGCAACCCTTTTTCTACACCACAAACACGATAGAGAAAATGCAGAAGGTGGTGACGACAAAATCCGAATGTACAACATTTTTATTCTTTCCTGTCAACTCATGGGAGTCGAGAGAGGGGGAGAGAGAGAGAGAGAAATAGAAAATTTGGAAAGAGATGGAACAAGGATACTTCTCTTTTCATCAGTTCAATATCAGACAAGCCATAAAGTGTATGTGTCCGTATTTTTCTAAGACTCATCAGCGAGATTGCTAGGAAAAGTCAAAAAAATTTATTTTGGTCAAGGATTCTTCTGACTTTTTGCGTTTTTATGGGTCTGCGGCATTTCCACATCTATAATCTACATTTTGGTCACCAGTTGACCATTACAGAACTGACTACTGCTGAAAGCTGCAGCGCTCTCACTCAGCTTTCCTGGAAATTGCTGGCATTCTTTCTGACCAACCGACTCGTGCGCACATGCGTGTGTGTATACATTTTTTCATAACCTAAGCTAAAACAAGCTCGCTTGACCCGTAAAATTCGTTAGCGATCAAGAATTTAATCACGGATCGCTGCCTGTAGTTCTTAGAGAACCCATTCTCCAGAACTTCAATTTCAAATCCTTATCACCAATAATATTTTTTGAAACGCTTTACACCACAGCCTTTGTAATCAGTTAACTTTAGCCCTTGTGCTGCAAATGCGCTCGTTAATCAACCTTTGTAAATTAATATAGTCTAAAATGGCTCTTAACCTCAGTTCAGAAAACTATGCTAGTCCCATACATAACAGTAAGGGAATGGAAAAAAATAATCTTCGCTAATAGCCCTACATCAGGAGATGACCTTGTTCTCTTTGAAAGAAAGTGTCAGTCGAATAATCGATGTATCAATAGTTTTTACCTGATTTGATCTGTATTCGGGCAGAGTCCTAACTTTATACTCAAAATAGTCCTCTCCATAATCAGCCTTGGAGTCATCACTCATTTCCTGCCACATTTTTTTTGCTTGTTGGAGTACTTCTTTCTCTTCAAACCAGGAACCTAAGAACACCGAGCAAGACAAAATTAACGCCTTTCATTCCTTGTTCACAAGTTTCCCTCAGTTTTTACAATTCTTTAATTTTCTTGAGTCGGTGGAATCCTCTGTGTGAGTGAGTTGTTTTGAGGGGCTTAGAGGACAAGGTGCACAAGTGCAGTTTTTGAAAAATTAAGATACTGATGATTTCAACTAAAACTAGTCTTAAAGTATAAATAGAAAAAAAATTCACTCGCAAATCAAGCATCAAGAAGTGAGTTTGAATTTTTTTTCTGCCACAAGGCTCCATGTAATTTTGAAACTTTAAACACTTACCTACCTCTCAAAAACGCAAAAACTTCACCTATGCGCCGTGTCGTCAAAGTCTCTCATTTGTTCTTTAAGTTGTTATCTCTCGCTCCTCTTGAACCAGGAGCTCAAAAATGTTTCAATTTCAATCCTAATCTACAACTTAGCATACCCACCAGATGCCATACCAAGTGATTTGAAACTCATAAAAAATGAATGGTAGGCTTGAACATTATCAGGCACTGGAATATAAGTAATGCTTCAACTGTCAGAATATAAGTGCCTGTGATTGTAGTAGTCATAGTGTGATGCATCTACCCTCAAAGAATAGTATTCCATTCAATGGAAACTCAATTTCTGAAAAATTAGCGGTTACTCCCTTCTTTAAATAACCTATTCATTTAAGGTTGTTAGGTAGGAAATTGGTCAAAATTAAAATTCTGTTCTTAAATATTGAATGAATAGAAATGATGGTGGCTAACAGATTAAAGTAAACTTGCCTGATGTGAACTGCCCAGGCTCGATTACAACAACATCGACTCCCCATTTTTTCAGCTCCAAGCGTAAGCATTCGCTGAAAGCCTCCAGTGCAAATTTCATGGAACAGAATGGCGACCGCACAGGTGAAGCAACCTTACCAGCCAAGCTAGATACGTTAATAATTCTTCCTATCAACAAAATAATGTTGCATTTAGTTTACCAACTTGAATATCTTCTTTTTATGCCAGTAAATCTTTATGAACTCCATGCAGCAGGAAAAGTTCCTCTTATGCTCTTGTTAAATATCAAGAAATTCGGCACTGGTTAAATTTCGGTATTATATTTATGATTTGATGTGTTCATTTTGAGAAAAACAGGGCTAAACTTTCATTTCTCTACTTAAATTGCTGATAAAATTATCATTTCTTGCCACAACATTCATTGCATGATGAACGGAAAGAAGTAGGAAAATAAATAAAAAAAAACTCAAACTTTAATATCAAATCTTGAAACCCTGCCGCATTTCTTTTGGTTCCCATTCATTTTTTATCTAACTGCTATAGATAGGTAATTGCTAATGTCTTATTCTTTTTGCAATCGATCCGCTAAAAGAAAGTGAGCAGTTAAAGATTTTGGTGGTACATAAGTTGAATTTTTGTGCTCAAACCTTGAGTTTTCCTGAGGAGAGGCAAAAAAACCTGTGTTGACCGGATGGTAGCAAAAAGATTGTAATCGGCTGCACGTTCATAAACTTGAAGGGGCACCCACTCCACCTCACCGAAAGCAGCCCAGCAGTTGTTATTAATGAGGGCCCATAAGCCTAGAAGGAAAATAAAATTCAACAATAACATGATTGTGAAAGAGATATTTGGTCCTCATTTAAGTATTATGGCACATTTGCAAACACATTTTCTTGAACTTATGAGATCACTCTGTCAAATATGAAAATTTGTCTTTTTACATACTTGAATTTCGTTTTTTATTGTTACTTTTTACACGGATTTTCATAAAAATTGATGCTCTTGAATTGCTGTTTTACTAAATTCTCACCCGGTGCATTTTGCGGTAAATTATTCTTCACAAACTGATAGGCCTCTTGTAGCTGCTTCTCTGAGGTTGGGTTCAACTGGATTATCTTCAGACGACCAGAGCACTCATCTTTCAAGGTTTGACTTTCTCCGGATAGATCACTGAATGCAGCAAAAACTGTGAAACCCTGGAAATGAAAGAATTTTGAATTCCTGCATTGTAAAAAGGGCCAAGCAAATGAGCATGCTGAATGAATTTTTTGTCCTATGCAGATTTCTACTCAAACCTGTTATCTGTGGGTTACTTCAAAAACCAAAGACTTCAGCATCTATTAAAGTGACATAGAACAATTTTTGAACTGTTTCTTGTATTTATTTCTTAATATTTGAATGTCCATCTGATTGCTTGTTGAAACTGAAATTCTGCAGTAATCATACTTATTTTATTATTGTTTTTAAGACTGGCTTTAGTTTTATAATTTTAGAACGATTCCCTCCTGTTATCGCACAACAGCCTCGTCTACAGGCTCCTTGTATTTGAAGAAAATAAATGAACATTTTTTGCACCTTATTCACATCATTTCAATTTCCTCCTGATCGTTTTCAATGCTCTGATCACACATCAAATTTTATCATCAGAAATCAATGGAAAGAAGTGACAATGCTTGGTGCAAGAAGGGTTGAGCTGAAATTTGCTAAAATATCTGTTCAATCCTCTAAAATCCTGTCAATCCCAGGTTCACGCCAGCAGCGGTGGATCCAGAAAGTGGCTGAGGAGGGGGCCATTAGGGTCGCCCCATTCCCATGGGGCTCAAAAAATTGAAAAATATGATAAAATAACTCCCGCGGACTAAAATGCTTGAAAAATTAGCTCTTAAACTTAAATTGTGGTGCGGTGAAAATTGACAGGTTTTACACATTTCACACTTTCATTTTCACACTTCAGTCAAAAATACTTTGACTCTGAAGGACAAAATAATGGCTATTTTCTCCTTTTACTCTTTTGTTACTTATTTTTCACTTATTTTTTTTTTTTTATTTCTTGGTATTTCATATTGGTTTTTACCTATTGTAACTTCTCTCTTTTGCCGGTTCTTCTTTACTCCTGACTTTGGTTTTCAACTTGAGGCAGAAGGAGCCATGCCACTATGCCCACTCCTTCCCTCCGAATCCGCCACTGTGCACTATAACTATTTGTAATTGTTTTGTTCGAACTGGAGTCACAAATAATTCTTGCCAGCATGGTCTTACTATAGTACAAATGGATTGCATTTAGCAAAAAGTAACCTGCGCGATTACAGTGTAAAAATGTTGCTTCTTTATAATTATCTAAAAAATCTCCCAGAATAGCAAATATTTTTTGCTTTCCACCAAAAAATTTTTAATTTTGAAGGGAAACAATTGTGTGAATTTTAATATTGTACATACAGTGAGTATTTTTGAAAGGAAAGAAGAAGTTGCACAATTTTGAAAACACTGACACTACGTTGGTTCCTTTTTGCTAAATGCGATCCAAATACAATGGCACCAGTATTTCACTGAATATTGAAATCGGTTTACCTGCACCGTTAAATTTTATACTCAGGAAACTTACCAATTCGTCAAGCTGCTTTGCCAGAATACTGCTCATTCTCGTCTCGCAGCCTGTTATCAAGACTGCTTTTCCCGCAGCGGTTACCTTGAAATTTAGAGAAAATTATTCGCACCTTGAAATTTTAGCATAATTTGTTCTGACTGTTGAGAATTTTCATAAAAAGGTTGCATGAACCTCCCACCTATTCCAGCTGATCAGTTTGCGAGAGGGAATCCAAATGTACAAAGTGACTATTTATTGATGAACTCAAAAATTTATGAAATTCAAATTAAGATAAGAAAACATCATCCTCCTCCCCCCTTCTGTCTTCGTTTTTTTCAAAAACTTTAAAAAGAATTCGCAATTGAAGTCAAGAGAGAAATTTAAATGGCATGGAAATTTCATATGATGATCCTATGGAACACTTCCGATTGAGATTAAGGAAATGCATTACATTTTCGAAAGGAAAACAGACCCCCCCCCCCCTCCCAAATGCAAGTGAATTCAAAATCGAAATTGAACGTCAACATTTTTAGCAAGAAAAATCTTTGTTACAAAATATGGAGAGCTCTAAGTTTTTTCTCCCCAATATTAATCGCAACTTCATCAAATTTTGACAGAATATGCAATTATCTTGGTATCAATAGAAAATAAGTTCAACTTCCTTTTACTCAAAATAATATCAAATGCTAAAGTTATCTTGATTCTAATAATGCNCCCTCCCAAATGCAAGTGAATTCAAAATTGAATTGAACTTCAACATTTTTAGGAAGAAAAATCTCAGTTACAAAATAGGGAGAGCTCTAAGTTTTTTCTCCTCAATAATTAGTTACAACTTCATCAAATTTTGACGGAATGTGCAATTATCTTTGTATCAATTAAAAATAAGTGGAACTTTCGTTTACTTAAAATAGTATTAAATGCTGTAGTTATCTTGATTCTAAAAATTGCAGAACCAGCTAGTTCTATGATATTTTCAGGAAAAACTATGCGCTCTCTCTACTCATTACATTGAATTTGGAAGCAACTAAAGCATAATGTGTTTAAGCAAACTAAAATGGTAAATACATACTGTCAGATTGTGGTAAAAAATGGTTGTACCGAGACTTAAAATCAGGAACAAAATGAAGAGAGTAAAACTAGAAACTTGAGAAATTCGCAACACATTTAACACGAAAGATAAAATAATAGCCGCACCATGTGAAAAAATCACTGGCAGAATACACCGGTCAAATAGGTCCCACGGTACTTCATCCTGTTTTTTATTTGCAGGATTAGAATTTCGCAGACTTTCCTTACGCTTCATTTTTCCTAAAATTGTATCACTTTTTGAGGAAATGCTGTTAGCTTTTTTTCAGATGGGGGAATTACTGTCTCTGGCAGGCTGCCAGTTACACTTGGCACACTGACTTCCAATGTAATTTCATCTAAAAATAAAACTATTTTAATAACCAGGTTAATTCTTTGGTGTCTTTACCCACAATTTTCTGATGATTCATGCATGATTTCTTTCAATACTTGTACTTTCACCTATCCCAGAGAAGGATGAGAAAGTCAAATTGTGAACATTTTTACTGAGGATCAAAAGAGGGGATTGATGAGAATAGGAAATGAAGTTCACCTAGTGCTTATTTTATAATGAACATTCCATCCCTAAAATAACTTCCAACTTGCCCTTGAAATTCGTTAAGGCTGTCTTTCAACTTGGATAATCATTCGGTCCTTATTTTTGATTTCCACATTTTTTTTTTTTTGAATAATTGTCAGAGATAGGTAATTCAGTAATTTACAAAAAACATTAGCTTGATTGGAATTTGTCTCCAGACTGGAAAATAATGCTACCTGACACCATTTTCTTCCTATTTTGCATCTTATGAGGTATCCTTATAAAATTATTTTACAAAGCATCATTGCAAGTGTTGGGGTTGTTCCGCAGGTGATGAGGTTTTATAGCATTGCTTCAAACATCCATTGAAATGGATCTATGTACATCAAACTCTTTTCTGGACAAAATGAGCCCATGTAATAAATTGGTAGCTATTGCATTAGGCTTTTTTTATATTAATTTTTTTTCATTATTATTATTGGTTGCATAATTTTAAGTGATTTTGAATGAAAGGATAGTAAAAAAATAAACAAAACAATCATCTTATCTTAACGTTGTTTTACTATCAACTATCACTCATTCATGAAATGAAATCCAGAGAGGATACATGAGGTTGAACAGTAAAAAATAGAAGTAAAAATAAAATGCACCTTCTCTTTTAATTCTTATAAAGTTATTAAATGATCAAAATTCATCCAAAAGTAACGCAGGAAAAGATAACCATACAAATTAACTACTTTGTATTTTTGCTCCTTGAGAAAAAATGAATCCCAAATCGGAGTCCGTCGTTTAAAAACGTTACTTGTTTAAAAAAGATTCAAGCTGTCTTTTCCACACAGACATGATAGTGGAAATTTTGGTTTTACCTACAATGGAAGACGGTACATAGCACAGCTTTCATCCTTTTTTTTTGTTTTAAAAAACAAAGGACATTGGTTGCACTTTACGTAAAAAGTGGTTCCAGTTGAATTCACCTGTAATTGGATAGGTCTCAAGTTTTGACCTATAGAGATTAAAAGTCTCAATAGCATTGCTGATAAAGGTTCCTCTTTTTCATATGCTGTAATGTATTGATTCAATGAAGATGGCTTCGTTTGCATGTTCTGACGATAAATGTTGCGCCATGTTCTGTTGAGAGACTAGAGCTTCACAGTAGTCACATTTTGTCACTTGTTCTGTTTCTATTAGCTGCACTTGTCCATGCTGATCACTTTTGCTCTTTGCAGACGATCCATGAACGTCTCTCATGTGACATTTCAATGTAGACCGTTTTTTGAAACACAGCTTGCAGCTTCGACAGCGCCACACTGCCATAGATTTATGCTGTAATGTGTGTGCCACTAGCTGATCATTTGTTTCAAACATACGTAAGCAAAAATCGCACTGGAACATGCGCGTACCATCACGATGGCGTTTTTGGTGACTCATAGCAGATGGAATAGACCTAAATTTTTTCTCACAATATTTACATCCATGTGGTTTTTCTCCAGTGTGGATTCTGACATGCAATTTCATTGACTGAATAGTGATGAATGATTTCCCACAAGTATCACAGACAAATGGACGTTCTTTTGTATGTGATCGTTCATGAATGACAACTCGCGCTGGATTTCTGAAAGCCTTATTACAATACTTACAACTGTACTTTGGATTTTCAGAATGGACCCTAAGGTGATACTTGAGATCATATGGATCGCTGAAAGCACTTTTGCATTTGGGACATTGGAATTTTTCACCGGCATGAGCTCTTCGATGAGCAACAATACCTTTTGCAGTCTTATATTCTTTCCCACATAATTCGCACTTCAGATCCTCTCTTAAATTACTCCTCTGCACCAATCTACGATCGTCAAGGAACCTTTTGAAATCCTTCACCTCGTTTGACAATCTTTTGGAGCGACCAGACTTTTTTGGTACGTGAATATTTTTCATCTGAGTTGTGCTGTAATCCTTCCTAGTTTCTGATTTAGAGCATTTATCAGTCTCCACATGTCCCGTTAGGTCTGTGATGGTCATGAAAATGGCACTGCAGTCTTCGCACTCGAAATAACCATCTGCTTCAATTGTATCTTTGATAATTGCATTGTGTTCATCATTTTCAGTGAAAAAATTGATGGGACTATCCATGTCTCGCTCCTCATCAGGCTCAACGACAATAATGCAATTCTCGTCAGAATTATTATTGAGCTGTTCCTCTTCATTCTCCTCTGAATCTTCCTGAAACAATGTTATAGCAGTTATAAATTGGATTAATGAGTAGTTACAAAAGTAAAACCAGGAAAGGAAAACACTATCAATTGTGATAAAAGAAGTCTTGTGCTCTAAAGACTGAATGAGCTTCCCTTTCTTCCAAGTAATGATTTCAAATATCCAAATTATGAATGATATTCTTTAGTGGTAGTGACCCAATTTCCATCCACCGCTTCACAAGAGCTTCTCTCTCTGGAACTTCCAATTTTTTCTCATAACAGGTATATTAGTATTAAGTGATACAGAAAGAGTTTTCTGTATCGTGACCTTCGCAGCTGTCTAATGAGCTAATGGTATGTCGTATCAATGAAAGAGGAAGATGCTGCTGAATACCACTGGTTACCCTAATTTGGTTTGAGTTGTTACAATTGCCGACAGATAGGTGATGCTGGCAGTCGCGCACACTCAGAGTGACTGATGATATCATAACAGTGCGGTCAAACAAACCACTACCTCTCCTACCTCATTTATAGCCATGATATAATTATTTATTTATTTTTTTTACTATCGATTTTTAGGTGTCCTTCAAATCCTGTCACCACCAGTGATGCAAACCGTGACTTCAATGCCACACCACAGAGGATGATTAATATTTACTATCACTGGTTATTTTGATACTTACTTCAACAAAATCATCTGCTGAAACACTGCCTGGTTCAACCACCTTTTCTTGTGGGTTTGTCCGATGAGCTGTAGATTCAAAATAACTATGCTCCTTACACTGCTCCTAAAAAGAGAATAAAAGATTATCATTCCATTGCTTTTTAATTGAAAGGGTCTATCTCTCTCTTTGAGTAAAACTAAGTTCCTTTCCTATCAACTTTAAGCATAGACTTATAACACACTCTTTGTGTTATACTTTATGACTTTAAGAAACTAGACCTCCTTAGGTGTCAGGATGTGAAATTTAACCATCTTACAATTAAATTTTCCTGCAATCGCAATAGTAATACTAGCTTATTGTTAGTGAGAAATTCACTCTCAGGACGTGCTAGATGGTAGGGTCATGAGAGATGCGTGTAAGAAAAAATTCTGCAGAATTAGGAGTCTGTCTTTGCAATAAATCCTAAATTTTACTGCGGGGGGTTGCAGGGTTCAATGACTTCAGGAGGAGTCATAATGTTTTTTTCTGGAAACAAAGAACTTGAAAAAGGAGGGTTGCAAAAATTTGGAACCAATTAGTTTTTTCTTTCTTTATAGAACCCTGTTTTGCGACCTTAAATACTGAATTCTTTGTGGTCATTGATTTCATAAATTTCTGACAACTGGAGAGTAACTCCTCGACGTTGTGGTAGCAAAAAGTTAAATCAGCAATCCGGTAAATTTTCTTTGGGAAATGCATTTTACTAAATTTGGATAGTTCCTTTATTTCTGTTACCATGAAATCACAGACGTGCAACTTACTGCCATCGAGGTTCCTTTAGTCAAAAGATTGTGCTGCTCAATGTATGCGCTCAGACAAGCTTCTCGAAAATCAAAAAACATGTTCAATGTCTCTACACATTTGTGACAGATGAATTTAGATAAAGAGTCATTCGGAGAAACCTGAAACAAATAATAGAAAACGAATGTTAGGAGTGACCATGAATTCTTTTAAATATTTTACATTTACTAAAATGAGATGAGCATTACTGGTAAAACTACTGCGGTCCATGTCTTGATTGTGATGCTTCAAAATTGTACTCTTACTTATTATATATTTTTTCAAAATTTGTTCATTTTGAGAGTAAATATTATGATCAATTTTTGTGCAACATTTACTTAAGATTTTAGGCGGCACCATAAAAACTGGGGGTAAGGGATTAAAGAAAAGTTACTTGCCACCGCTGGTGTTTGGAAGTTGATCAAGTACGACTTCATGGAATGAGCTAGTATACTAGGACTTTGTAAACAAGCTGTGCTCAATAATAAGATCAAATGATCTTTTATTTTTTAAAATAATATCTCCTTTATAGATAAAATAAAATTTTAGAAGAAGTCCCTGAGGTTTTGGATATGCCGAGGTGCAGAGACCGATCACCATGCTTTCCGATGGGGATCATATCTGGGCATGTGCCAGTGCCTGTCACTGCTCGCTAATTTGGAGTTTCGGATAGAAAGAGAAATTGAAGGAAAACCTCAACATCACATCGAGAGCCAACAAATCCAGAGAAAACAATTTTTCATGAAGAATTAGATGATGAGAGCATGGCTTAGAAATAATGTCTCCTTGCGGTTAGAGTACATCCCATTTACTGGGTCAAGAAGTGAGATTGCTCTTACAGGAAGATAAACTTACAACAAGCGAGGCACATGTCATTATTTTTGAGGCAAGAGATATTCCGTCGCTGGAAAGTCCAAAGTTGATTTCAGACACATTCTCTCTTGAAAGACAGAGACGACAAACAGCATCAGTAACACAGACAGCCGTGGAAATGGATTTTGAAGTCATTTTAAAAGTAAATGTTAAAACAAGCTCAGATCAAAAGATTGTTCAGTATAAGGAACACTTGAAATTAAATGAGAAACACTCAAGAGGAAATGGAAATCCAAGTAAACACAGGTTTCATCATTTGTTTACATGGTAATCAAAAACAGAAACATAACCTCTCTTAAAAAACAATATGGAGTGATGAAAGGCGGAGGCAATCAAGGTTTGACCATCTCCATCAGATGACGTATAATTGCATGCCATGACGTTCGTAAATGACAACTTTCGTCGTGTGCGTGTATACAGGAGGGATAATAAAGAACAAGCCTCTCAATGCGCTCAATATGTATCGCAAACGATTACGAAAATGTGCAGAGCGAAATTTCACACCCTGTAGTTTCTGCCCTGCCGATTACGTAATCTTGCAAATCCTTGTGGTTCGACCCGTGTTCGACTCAGTTCGACTTTTCGGTATCGGTTTGGTTTAGACCATTTCGACGGCACATGTAATCGCGGTACGCGGTACCGATAGTGAAAGGATTTCCGATAAGCGAAGGTGAGGTTACTCTCGAGCCCGTGGTAAAAGGAGAATACCTTGATTGCTTTGGTCCTTGGACAAGTCCTTACAGTGGAGTGTAATAATCATCATTGTGGAATTCCTGTCTAATGAACTTCAATCGATCCTCTGTTTCTACACTTTGTGAAACGTTCGTGTCCAGGCTGTAATCTTATTACAATCCGCTCGGAAGTTCTATTCACTCATAGCTGGAGAACACAAGGCTCCCATTGTTTTTCTTGCTGTTATCTAGGATTAAAACGTGAAAGATTATGGGTCAGATTTTCTCAGTAGTTCCAGGTAAGAGGATTGTTTCTAGCTCACGAATTGAGTAAATTATCAGCCTCCCTGAAGAGATGTAATGATCAAGTTGCCCCAGTATTCATAGGATTCTAATTTCAGAATAACTAAGTACCAGTTCACAAGTTACATTCAACTTTGGGATACAAGTTCTTTTCATGCATTAAAGCTTGTCAAATGAGCGTCACTGCAAGACATGGAGACTTATCATCAACAATGTGCCAAGTGGCAAAAAGTTGATTCCAAATTATTCTCAATTTTACTTCCGAAACCTGCCGCAGAGCACAACATCAATGCTGTCTTGCAGACACTGCATGCTCTACCTATGTATCCGTGGCACTCAGTCTGATGCGCAGCATGTTGACCTTGTCGCCGAAAACGAAATGCCATGTTCAGCTCAATGTCCGATTTTTTTGCCCTCAGCTTGTTATCGATGATAGGTCTTCCCTTTAGTGTTTTAGCCTAGCGCAGGGGCTAATTTGCTTCGCATTTTCAGGTGCAGACTCCACTGAAACTAGATTTTCTCGACCTTTTTAATAATGAGGGTTTACCTGATATATTGTGTAAACTGCTCCCCTCAGGAATTGTATTTTAGCTTATTGTGCCGTTTTAAAATCCATCAATTTAAAATACTCATCGTTTGCCGAAATTGCTGTTTACATTCATCCTCATTACTAGGTGGCACCAGTGGACTTTATTTGCGATGGTTTGAGATTGAAGCGACTTTTATGCTCTGATAAGATGTAATCTGTACTTACCTACTTGACTTCTAGAAAAAACATATTTTATTCTGTGAGTTTACAAAGTTCACTCTACCATTAATTACAAAGAAGGAAAAAGAAAACAGAAAAAAAAATATCCCCCCCCCCCAAACAATTTATTACCCACTCTCTATTTAATTTCCTTGAAAGTGGTGTACCCTACCCAATGTCAATCAAGTCATCAGGACGTACTGCCAACTTTCCACCGTTTTCTTCAAACGTTCTTCTTTCTTTTTCTCCCCTTTTCCATTTTACATGAAATGTTGCTGCATAACTCTTTAAAGATATTTTTTTTTCACAATCAATCATCAAAATTGAGCCAGCAGCACCTTTATACATATAGCACAAATTGAAAAAACGGCAAAAAATGGTCTTAAGGTGGTGCTGTATTTTCCCAAATGACTGCAAGTTTTATGATAGCATCAATTAAGGATGCACAACTAATACAGAAAATTCTTCGCCTCTCCATTTTTCCAGTAGGTCTCTCCATTTTAAAACCGCCTTCCTCTGAAAAATTTCAAAGTGATGACCCTTTTTTAGTTCTTTACGTGCAAATTGCTGCGATTTTGCCGTGAAATATTAAAAATAAACAATTTTCACAACGGATTTGTTCAAAAGACGTAACTCTCACTTCACTCATGCAGAAAATATGCAATTTTATCATATTACGCACCAGCCTTCCCATTTTTTTAAATTTATCTTCGGGGGTGGTGCATGCATGCCAGGTTCTGGTGCCCCAAGCGTCTTAGCAACACGGTCGCTAAAATAAAAAGAAAGAAAGAAGAAGAGGAAAAAGAGGAGAAGAGAATGAAGAGTAACGATAAGCATCGAATGTACCGGGCAGCGCGCTGCCGTGCTAAGGAAGAACGCCGCATGAACATCCGAGAGTCAGGGCCGGATTAAGGGGGTGGCCACATGGGCCGCGGCCCATGGCGGCAAATCAAGGGGGCGGCAAATTTTGCACTTTTTTTCAAAAAATCGGATTTTGAAAAAAAATTACAAACGAGAGGAGGCGAAAAAATCTCTCATTTCCTGAGAGTATAGTAATTTCTAATTTTGTCGTCTTTCAGTGATACAAGAGACAGCACCTATTAGTCGAGTCAGGAGAGAAACCCAACACGCAATTTGTCCTGGAACAGCGCGACTTGGAGAGAAATGATGACGAGGACTTGAGATGAAAAGGAGAAGCCCTCGGCGCGGCGGTCGGCATGTAATACATATTAGCGCCTACAAGACTGCACGAATACTTCACGCATTGCATCAAACATAGTGCGGTCACTGCGGTCAGCGTGAAACGCTTAGCGCCTACAAGACTGCGTGACTACTTCACGCATTGCGTCAAACACAGTGCGTTCAGCAGCGGTCGGCGTGAAACGCATAGCGCCTCCAAGACTGTTGGAATACTTCACGCATAGCGCCAAACACAGTGCAGTCTACGCGGTGCGGCGGCGGAAGTTAAAATCATTAAACTTTTATCTAACTCAGAATCACATTTATGTTTGTTCTTTCATAATTTGTTCCTTAATTTCTTATGAATTGAAGGCCTTGTGCACACACAGATAGGTCAAACACAGTGCGTTCAGCAGCGGTTGGCGAGAAACGCATAGCGCCTGCAAGACTGTAGGAATACTTCACGCATTGCGCAAAAACAGTTCGGTCAGCACGGTGCGGCGGAAGTTAAAATTATCAAACCATATTTATGTTTGTTTTTTCATAATTTTTTCGTGCATTTCTAATAAACTTAAATTTCGCGCAAAGTTCCGTGAACTTTTGCTAGTAATGTTAATAGGGCTTTCCCAAAACATGTGTCCAACACGAGTAAACGCGTCTTATGCACCCCTCCCCCGCTTGCACGTTCACTTGATGGTTTTTATTGATATTTCAAAACAAATGGGAAAGGGGCGGCAAAATACAGGCGGCCCATGGGCGGCAAGTAGGTAAATCCGGCCCTGCCGAGAGTTGCCAAATTGTCCTTGATAAAATGCTTATTTTTGAGGAAAGTTATAAATATTTTGCCCTGAAGTGTTCAGAAACTTTAGGTGAAATTGCAAATGAAATTATCCAACAAATTGGAAGGAAAATATTCACAAGTTTACCAGGAAATTCGTGTTTTATCCAAGGGAATTTGGTAACGCTTGAAGGCTCATACGGCGTTTTTCCTCAGCACGGATAGCAAGCTACTCGAAAATAAAGACATCCCGCAGCGTGCATTGACCGATGTATTGAGGCGATGAACGATGCGTGCCTCTGGTGGTAGACATCGCATCGCTCACTTGAATCTCGCCTTCAATTTCGCCGCATAGGCAAGAAACGTACTGGGGAGCGCGAATAGTCATAATCTATTCGAGAACGAGAAGCTCACGCATTTTTATGGCTCCATGAACTTCGATGGAACAACCCATGAACCGCGGTTCCGTTAACCTTTCACGGCTTAGTTATCGTCCATATGAAGGCGTCAAGCTTTATATGTTTAAACGTTCATATTCACTCAGCAGTTGGAAGTTTTGCGACGCCGAATTACATTTAAACTTATTTTTGAACGCAAAATAAACGATCTCGCCTAGGATTGAACGTTTCGTTCCACGACTTCTTTTAGAAGTCGCCACTTGTAGGGCACCATAGGGATGCAGAGTAGGGCCAGATTTAGAGGGTGACCGCATGGGCCGCGGTCCATGGCGGCAAATTTAGGGGGTGGCAAATGTTGTAATTTTTTCAAATGTATGCATAAAAAAAGTCTGTTTTAGAAAAAAAATTACAAACGAGAAAATGCGACAAAATCTCTCATTTCCTGAGAGCTGAAGTAGAGTCATTTCTAATTTTTTCGTCTTTCGATAATACAAGAGACAGAGCGTTTCATTAGTCTAGTTGGGAGAGAAACCAAACACGCAATTTGGCCTGGAGCGGCGCGGTACAGAGAGCAATGATGACGCGGACTTAAGATGGAAAGGAGAAGCCCTCGGCGCGCCGCCGGTCAGCATGAAACATATATTAGGTAGCTCCCACAAGACTCGACGAATACTTCACGCATTGCGTCTAACGTAGTGCGACCAGCAGCGGTTGGCGTGAAACTCACAGTGCCTACAAGATTGCATGAATACTTCACGCATTGCGTCAAAAACAGTGCGGTCGGCATGAAACGTATAGCGCCTACAAGGCCGTAGGGATACTTCGCGCATTGCGTCAAACACAATGCGGTTGGTGCGGTACCGGAAATTAAAATTATTAAACCACATTTGTGTTTATTCTTTCATAATTTTTTCGTTCATTTCTTATAAATGAAAGGCCTCGTCCACACAGAGATAGGTTCACGGAACTTAACTTTCGCGCCAAGTTCCATGAACTTTTGCTAGTGTTGACAGGGCTTTCACAAAAAAGGGCGCCCAACACGAGTAAACGCATCTCATGCACCCCTCCTCCTCCGGCACGTTCACTTGATGGTTTGTATCAATGTTTCCAAACGAATGAGAAGGGGCGGCAAAATACAGGTGGCCCATGGGCGGCAAGTAGGTACATCCGGCCCTGATGCAGAGAATGCTCGATCTCGCGCTCGGCGGGGGTGCGTGAACTTGAAGAAAAGCTCTCAGAAATAAAACAGGGGTAAAATTTGCAAGAGTCATGTATTCGTAAGTCGAAATTCGAAGGAAAACAGAGGAAAGAGGTCCTCATTTTATTTAGGGTGTCTGCAAGTCCGGAAATAGCTCTGATTTTTCAAGGGCGTCCGGAAGTTCTGATAAAGTGCGGAATCCTGCAAGAAGGTCCGGAATTTTTTCATTGTTTTTGTCACTTTTGTCGCAATTTGAGCGGGAAATTCAAATTTTTGAAATTTGTCGAATTTTGTCAATTGGAGGTACTGAAAAAGTACTGAATTTTTCTGTTGAGGAAGTACTGAATTTCTTGGAAATGTTCTGAAAAAGTACCGTTAAAGCACTGATTTTCGGCCAGTCTGTTTTAGTAGACACCCTGTTTATATCGGTGTTCAATTTCGTGAAATACCGACTCGGGAAATGCTGCGGGAAAGTGTGAAAAGCCGGCGGACGGGAATGGCGGAAAATGTGTAAGCTCCAGTGGCGTGGCGTGCTTTGCAATATATCGATTTTTATGCCATCTAAACCTATGGAAAAAAATCGATAAACAGGGTGTTCGCAGCGAATACCTTAATAATCGATTCTTTATCATAGGTTTAAATGCCGTAACAATCGATACATCGCAATTCACGCCACGCCACTGGTAAGCTCCGAA